TCAACCCAGGCAACCCTAGAGATTTGACCACTCCTCTTCTATTATCCATAACCACTTCTCCTCCGTTCTCCGGAACGTTTTTAATCAGAGCTATATTTATTTTCAAAAAGCAATTTTTACATGCAAGCCCCACCCATCGTGGGTGGGGCTCTGCCAAGTTTATGTATGCTGAGCACGCATGAGGCCTTGCTCACTGCTTTGAAGGCATAGTTCACGATAAAAATGGTCACTGAGTTTTCCCCATAAGAACACCAGTGGTCCCTAAGGGTAACGGGAAGGACGCTGTAGAGTCCCAAAACGCAGCAGCTAGGCATAGTGAGAGCCCCGGTACCGGATCGCCCAGGCATCCTACCCCTAGATCGATGTCACGTCAGACGAGTGTCGAGGCGATGCAGATTGCAATATTCGCGCTAGAAGCCAGACGTTTAGCCCGTAATCAGCTGATCGCCGAGGTAGTGAAGCGACGTTTTTCTCCCATTCTTTTATGCTCTTTATTCTTTTTGCTGCTGCGATCCTTATACTAATTTTCACCTCAAGAGTCCGAAAAAGGTGGGCTAATTTTGCTGTTACTAGAGTTTTCTGTTAACATATGCTTATGAGTGAATGAGTTTCTGCCCACCGTAGTCAATTGTTCGCATCACACGTACGCAATGACACACATTGTATAGCTCGTCCAAACTCCCCATTCTTCTTCATTTTTCTGGTCTCATTCTCGTCTAGTCCCTTTTTTGAACGATTTTTCGAAGCCTTTTTCACTTTGGAAACATCGATTCACGCGGTTTTTTCGCATTCATCGTACTGTTTTCCATCTTATCTTTCATGTTTCGTTATAATCTGGATTACTTAAAATCATCGTGAACTGACCTTAAATTTTCTGACATCTATGCCTTCGTTGAGTCGAGTTATGAACTCTTGTGGAAAGTGCCGCCTACTGCGAAACCGCACACCGCCGTTGCGTTTCCATGAGATCACTTGCTAACCCATCCCCACCTTTACTTATTTTTTCCACGCGTCTGGGCTCTTCTAAAATCAAATTCAGACATTTTGCCCATAACACCGTCCACTTCTAAGCATGTCTCGCCCGCTTGGGCGGAGCTCCGCTGAGCTCTAATGTACACTGTTGGTCTCAACCTATCCGAAACTTGATCCTACTTTCGTAGGGGCTTCTTCAGATAGTACCGGATTTCCGTACAAGCAAACGCAACCAAACGTTACGCATTGTCAGTTTTATTTATTGTTCAAACATCCGATGTGAAAGTAATGCAACATTTAGGCTGTGAATCATTTACAGATGATTTTTGCCACTATCAAGTCACGTACACCTTCCAGTTAAACGTTCAGCGGAAGAAATCTTTTTTACATTGAGATGTTACAGGGAAAAAACTCAAATTAGGCGTTTTCCAGGAAACATGTCCTGTGGTGTTCCTTTATCCTATTAGGCTTTTCGACATTTGTTGGAATAATTTCGAGTGGTATACTATCAACATTATCAGAGCTTTTTGGTGTTGAACTTGCAAGCGACTTCATGCTTGCTGTTGTTGAAGTTTTTTCGGTAGGCTTTTCAAACCGAGTCCTCACGACTTACTTTCACGATATTCAGAAGCCTTTTAGATGTTTACAATTGAAATAGCAAACTTCATTTTCTTTTCCAACTATGTAGACAAAGTAGTTATTTGGTTGGAAGCAATCTCACAACATTTTGCGCAAATCTTTGAATTTCAAATTGCTCTACTAAGTAAAACCTTCAACTGACACGATAATCACCACTTTTCCGAGAAACTTCTCGATCCTTCTCATCCAGGCTCTCTATGAAAGCAACAAAAAAAGACTGCCGTTTTCATTTTCGCAATGACGACGATCGTCAAATATTTCGAGTTTCACAAGGTCTTCCAGTGGTCTTTGGCGAGTAAACCAACTATGGTAAAGTCCCTATCGCAGCTCCGAAATTTTAATTTTTTGACGCTCTCGTTCGCCAGTTGTTGAGTGTTTCCATTAAACCCGCTACTTTCTGTGATTGACAAGTGTAAACTGTGGCCGCCACCACAGTACCAGTGTCGAACGGCTCCCTATAGATCATTCCATCCCGACAGGAACGTTGCCTCTCTTCGAATAAATTTTTTCTGAAAGCAAAGCGCTTGTACCATCTAGACAGCGTCGAATATTGCATAAAATCTTCTCGGTAACAGTGCAGATGTTTGACGCAGCTGGTCTGACATGGTGCCTTTGCAGGAACTCGTAATGGACAACAGGTCAAGTGATAGCTCAGTTCATTACGAAGATAGGCCCGCTGATCTCTCTGCGTCCTCTTCCGGAGTTCCTCCGAACTTATTCGCATGACTTGGCTTTTGAATGATGACAGAAAACTTGCCAATGTCCCATCACTTCAATGTCACAACCCAAAGCTGATATGGGAGGATGTTTGCAATTCGCGATTGAATAAATTTGATACCTAACTCGATATAAAAGAAGAACTGAGAGTATATTAAAACTGCAGTGTCAAAAGACATAGAAGACCAAACATTGGTTTTTTCTGATTTCTTCTTCTAATAAATGGTTCATTGCAGCCGGCGGACTGGTTCTTTGCTGCTCTACCTCTTTGTTCTTGCTTATTCTATATAACAGCGTTCAAAAAAGTACGATCTATGCGACGAAGTTTGAGTGCAACCTTCGGAGCAAGGGACAAAGCCGAAAATTCGATACTGAAGCAAGGCTTTTTTCTCTGCATTTTTTATATGGTAAACCCTAAATAATATTTGTATGATACGTTAATAAGGTTTATGGACGAGCTGAAATACTAATCTTTATATGAACGATCCCACAACAATAGGCCAGTGCTGCTCTCAAAAAAAATCACCTTTTTGGGGTAAGAGGGAAGGGCCTAACGTTTTCGGCTTGTAATGACTCACGCGAAGCCCTCAAAGTGTGTCCAAAAAGCTATTGATGTTTGATGTACATATATGTGGAGATCATTACTAGTAAATTAGACCCCCCAGCCTGCATTCTTAGAAGCTTGGGAGCTCTGGTTTGAAAGAAAAGTGGCTGGACATGTCCAGCGAAACGCTCACACACCGACACACTTCGTGCGCCCCCTTCCCGCCACGAGCGAGGTCCTGAACAAGTTCTGTGTGCTTCAGTATCATGGTTCATTCCCTCCTAGCCTAACTTGACTGTGTGTGCCCATTTGAACTACGTTCATTTCAAGCATGGTCCGCCTCTCCATCCCCACCCCCCGCGGGCGAGATTGAATTCTGTCTCTTTCTTCTAACTACCATCGATGTCATATATCTGTGACCTGTACATATACCGAATTCCAACTTCTCAGGAACAGATTACAATATTCACGCTCGCGTCGATCTCAGAGGGCGGAGTCGGTTCCTGTCACCAACCATTATTGCTCGCATCCTGCTACTTGTATTCATACCAGTTTTGAACTCTCCAGATCTTAGGAAGGAAAAGTTATGAATTTCTCCTCGAGCATCGATTTGGGTGCTCACCCTACCCTATTTGCGGATTTGGTTCTTCCATCTGCCGTCGTGTTCACATTCTGCCGCCGTTACTCCTACCAAATTTGAACGCTTTAGCTCCGAATTAATCACGTTCACTCACGCTCCGCCCCTGCGGGCGGAGTCTAGTTTTACCACCTCCAACAAGTCTTCCTATTCTGTCTCCTGTGCTCGTACAACATTTGAACACTCACGGTCCACGAGAACAGTAGTTATGAATTCCCCCTCGAACATTCACTTCGAGCAAACGTGCGCCTTCCGTCGTGTCACCCACGGCTGCTTTCATAGTCCCCAACCGGTCGCGCTTGCTCGACTGGTCGCTCGACTAGTCGTTCGACTAGTCGCTCGACTAGTCGTTCGACTAGTCGCTCGACTAGTCGCTCGACTGGTCGCTTGACCGGTCGCTCGATCGGTCGAGAAGGCCGCCCTAGTTATGGGTGCCGCCGAGGACGGTCCCGCAGACCGCGCCATCAGTCGAGCAACACGTCGAGCGACCGGTCGCTCGTAAAATCGTGGACTATGAAAGATGCCCACCATGTGTGTTCGCATCCTACCTCGTGCACTCTTATCGAATCCGAACGCTCTAGGTCTACAGGAACAGGAGCTATGAATTTACGGCCGGGCACACACTGACACACACACATATGTATATATACACACAAATACAAACAAGACATTAGCTCTTTTTATATAATGGTATTTAATGGAGATTAGAGCATTATGAGGCATCGTCTAAACGAAAGGTAGCCTAGATTCAAAAAATGCTCGAAAACCAGTCTCGACCGCCACTGCCTTTCGGTATCCCGAAGAAGTAACATCTGCGAAGGTCGATATCGTTCAACGCCTTTGTTGTACTATACTTGAACTCACCTGACTACAGCTGAGTGGTTCAAGAAAGGCTTTGCATTCCAGCATTTGTGCTGATTTTCTTAATTTTTCGCCATCGATTTACTACTAAATTCGACCAAAAAGGTTACCATTCGAAACAATGTCTTCGAATTACACTCAGAAGTAGAAATACTTCTAAATCCACGAACTGCAGCCACACCATTGAAGAACTCAGTGCTGTCTACTCGGGAAGCTTAGCACCGTGTAACACGCCTTTCACCCATAATTTCATTTTGAAGGGTAAGCCTCTGGGCATTGATCAGATCTACCTGGGGATGCGCTCCCGCATTCGACTTCCATTCAGAATTGTAGTGACGTGTTGAATGCTTGTGCGGCCTCAACAACGACTAGAGGTAGCCAGTCGATGTGCAGGCCAGTGCTTTTCATTCTCTCAAACGAGTCTGGTAACAGTTAAATGCCCTCGGAGGGGCGAAAGATCTCGTCAGCCTAGGCGGACATCGACGTACTCGAAATTCGGCTTCGAATATTTTACCATGCGTTCGTGATAGTGATAGCACCTTGCCACTTTACACTTTACACTTTACACTTTATTACGGAATCAATTCATACTCGAATGCCGCATAATGGCCTCGTTGAACTGTTCCTTCGTCATACTCCACCAGGTTTTTCCGATCTCGACAATTCATCGCGCCATCGAATAGAAGGGTGTCCTCTCCTTCTTCGGTCTTCGTAGTCATATGGAATCCATGTCGTAATCACGCGAGCCCATACGCCCTCGTCCATCTCACGTATATTTTTAGCCCACATGAGTTCTCTTCTTGAAGCCTCGTTCAGCCTGTCTCTGACTTTCGTGAGTGCTCTTATCCTTTCACAGCTCCATCGGTCCAGCAAACATAATCCAGGCATAATCTTTTCCATCTTCCTTTGGGCTACGCACAAATTCTAATATCAGATTTCTCTAAGGACAATGCTTTCGCTCCATAGAGTACGGTCGGCGTTATGCAGGAATCGAATGGTTGCTGTTCCAATGGGAGAGGGATCGTTCTGTTGCAAAGTACATTTTGAAGTCTTCTGAAGGCATTCCAACCGCATCGAATTCGATGTGCGATTTCATCTGGGAATTTCATCTTTCATTTCTTGGTGGGAACGAGAGGCAACAACCAAGATATAGGGGCATGATCAACGAAGGCAAAGACTTTTCCATCGATACATATAGGATGCCTCGACGTTTTACTACTTGTCAGTAGTTTTGACTTTTCTGGGTTAATGTGAAGTCCAACCATGGTAGATGCATTTGAAAGGAGTTGTGGCATCTTCTTGAGCATGGCACGAGAGGAAGCCAGCAGTGTAACGTCGTCTGCATATCCAAGACTGGAAAGCATACCATTTGTAAGGTGGCGTTAAAGAGTTTCGGGCTGAGTGTGTCTCTTTGTTTAATGGCTTTTTGTATGGTGACCGTAACTGATCGAGATTTAACAAGAACGGCCGAGGAAGAAGATTCGTTAAGTCTCTGTGGCATATCTATTAGTTCTGGATGGACATCTCTTTTTGCAAGTGCTGTCTACACTGCGGACTACTCCAAACTGTCAAAAGCTTTCTTGTAGTCGACGAGGGCAACGTAGACAGGAAAGTTGTATTCGGCACTCTTTTCAGCGAGTTGTTTGAGAACATGAATGTGGTTCAGGGTGGAATAGTTTCTTCGAAACCCGACTTGACTTGGGCCGTCTGACTTTTCTAGTTTTTTTTGTCTATGCGAATCAAGATGGCTCCCGTCACTGCTTTGAGTACTCTCGATATCAGAAATTGTTCGGTAGCTGCTTACGTTATTAGGATCTCCCTTTTTGAACAACAATTTCACGTCAGCAGTTGTTAACTTCTCTGGAATAGGGTTGCCTTGTTTAATACCGTTCAGAAGTTCTGTGAAAAAAGGCAATTGTGGGTTTTGCGAAAGCTAACTGCTTTGAAATTCGATCTGGAGTGGGAATTTTTCCAAGGCGAAGTAGGGAAAGAGCATGTTCCGATTCGTCAATGCAGAACGGTGGGCAAGGTTCGAAAGAAGAGGGACTGCTCAGAGGAAAGTTGATGGCTGATCTACAAAGTTGTTGTAATATGACACTACTGCGGTTTCTGTTGCCCGTTGTGAGAACTCTCCGGTTGTTGAGTCCTTTATCAAAAGTCTTCTATTTCTAAGGATCCCTTTTCTTTGCGCTTCAATCATACTTCTGCCCCTTTCAGTTGCTTTTTGTACAATTATTGTTTTTCGCTGACGTATATCCTCCAATAGGGCTAATCTAGATGCTTTGCAAATGATGGAGTATGCTATGCGACCAACTGAAGATGAGTTATTCCGGAGAGTAATCCGCTCGGAGAGGAGAGTTTGGGTTCTGAAACTGATTCTTGGAGGGCCTGTTTGGATGGACCAGCATCCATCAGCGGCATTCTCTACAAATGATCGAATACTTTCGTAGGCTTGCTGTGCATTTTGAGGACAAGGCTGATTAGGAAGGAGACTGAGTCGAACTTTGTACAACTCACGGTCTAGGTAAAGTCGGGTTAGAGGAGAACGATATGGCCGGATTAAAGTACGACCGACATTATTACGAACAATCATTTGCATTCGAATCAGGCGACGATCAGAAATGAACAAAAAGTTGTTTATGACTTCGCAGCCGAGAACGGTTGGGGATGGAGGAGAGCAAGTGAAGTCGATCTGGTTGTGCACCAATCCATAAAACCTTTCCAGGTCCATAATCGTCCTTTCCTTTTACGAAAAAACGTGTTCCATACACGTAATCCTAATTTGGTTAATATTTCTGTGAGCATGCGTCCGCCATCATTCGATGCGTCAGGAGTGTACTTGCCGATGATTTGTTCGTTTCCTACTTTCCTTCCCACCTGCATTCGTGTCTTCCAAAAGAATAAGTGTACATCCTTTTGGAACTCGTCTACAGGTTTGCTCTACTTCCTCAAGAAAATTTTCATATTCATTGTTCTCACCCTTGGACGATGCCGGCGCATAGCAGACAGTTACAAATACTTTGACAACGAAGGCTTCACCACGGTGGGCAGTTTCGGCACCAGAGTGGAATAGAATCGTACCTTACGGTAATTCATAGCTTCCGCTGTATGGTATCCTGGCTTCGTTACTCCGAGTATAGCGCATTTGATCTTCTCCATGAATTGTCAAGTTCGACTTGGCGTGCTGTTGTTGAAATAGATCGGCTGTTTACTGTTCCGATGAAGAGACGTCCAATACGGATGGCCATGAGGTTGGGCGATAGTCTGCCGTGGGGCCCAATCACTTCTGGCAGGCGATACTGGGCTCCGGGTAGGAAGGTGGCTGGAGAGGTGGAAGAACGATCGGCTGCCACCACGGAAGCATCAAAAATGCCTTGCCACTACACCACCTATTTAATTCAATCTTTTTCCAGATTCCGAAAGTGACGCTCTTCATCAAGCAGTATGGTTTTGATTTGAGTGATAGATTCTTCATACTTTTTCAAATACCTTTTTACATTTCTATGAACCTTCCACCGATCGTATTTCCTATTATTGTGTTTATATGCTCAAAGGAATTTCGGAAATTGTTTTTTGTGAACTGTTCCAAGCTATACTACCATACTCAACCCTTCAATATTCTACCCTTGCATCGAGGTAAGTGCTCTAATTGCAATCTTCAAGACCATTCCACGGGCCATGGGAGGAGGAAGGTGCCACGATCAAACCCCATTTGTCATGAAGAACCCTACGGGATGAAAATTCTCTCATTCTTGCCCTTCCCTCAGTCTCCTTACCCATCGCTCGTTTACGCTTCTCCAAGTATACAGTCCACTGACCATCACTAGGACTTCGATCAAAGATTTTCTTCTTTTTCAGTTTTCCCGGAAGAAAATCATGTGTGATTATTTTTACGTGCTCATCAGAACACTTCTCTTCACTCTGAAATCGGATGCGAAGGCAGGGAATTCGACTTTCGATTCCCTTGCTTCCCTGTTCTGGGGAATATATCAAATGATCCTTAACCAAATTATAGGAAACTATTCCTACAAGAAAGTGTAGGGCACCTGAAGTTTGTTGTGTGCACTCTGCTGACACCTACTTCATTCCGAATCTAATTCGGCCTGCCAGATGGACTGACTAACAAACTAAGCATCTGGATGTTTGCTAAACAAGTGCTATTGTGAAGAAAGCTCTTCTTGATAAATGAGTGTGTATTTCGCAATTACCATATAAACACCCTCTGAAATTGTAATAAAATCATGAAAAGTTGCCGTAACGCAGTAGAAGGTAACAGAATTGGAACACTAACTCTCTTTCAAACTGGTACTTGCAAAACTTCAGAGCTACTCCAGGACAGGACAAAGTTATGACCTTTCTGGGTTTGCCATCCGTCATGTTTTTGATTTGTTCTTAAATTTTTATTAATATTGACGATTCTGACTGGCTTTTCCTTTCCCCACGGAAACTCTATTATTCCTCCTGCGATTCATGTCCTATAATGAGATGTTGATAATTATAAAGCACGAGGCTAGTTCCTTGTATGGATAAACTTTTCTTCAATAGATTGCCCTAGCTTTCCTGTGATTCTGATAAATTCATTCCAGCGTGACCCTTTTCCAGTTGTAATTCTATAGAAGACGCTTCTGATTGACTTATTGTTTGAGTCAACGTTTTCAAACAATGAAAGCTGTTAAGCTGTAGCAGGATGTTTTTCAAGACAACCTTCTGTGTAGATCAGCATAAATCCGGTGAAGAACATTTCTTACTGACGACTTCAAAACGGGTGTGGTAACTTTCCCCTGAAAATTGCTCACCGCATCGCTAGTAGAAGGATACGGTAGCCGCCGCGGAACCACTGCCGCTCGCGGCGCAGAACCGTGGAGAAGTACCGTCACCCCTTGTAAAGTACAAACTTGCGGTGTTTTTATATTACACCCGAACGAGTTTATATTTACAAATCAAATTGCTACCAAACTAGTCGATTCATGTTCATCACGTCCTAGGCATTTCGACAATTTTTTTTTGCAGCACGCTATACAAAGTATCTTTTCAAAAACGTCTGAAAAACGATACTTAAAATAAATTGAAGAACTAGTGGAAAAAGTGGTTGTTGTAGGATTTCGGGCAGCTCCATTCTCTTAGAATTTCAGGTAAGGTATATTGAGTATCTTGAATTGGCAAGAGTTTTTTATCAAAACCACAGCTCACTGAAAATACACTCTAAATGTTCGAAAAAAGGCGAAAAGGACGCGAATTCGCGCCTTCTTCGTCTTTTCTTTATAACTTGGTTAGTTTTACTTTTTTCACATGAGTTTTACATAGTTCTACTCAGCTCGATGAGCTCTATACAATGGTGTGCTGAAAAAGGGAAAACGTTGAAGTTTGATGTTTTCGCTCCATCAAAGTTCTTGGGGGCACGTCATTAGTTCCTGGGGGCACGTCAACGACGCTCGCTACAATTTTGATCAGAGGGCGTTGTCTCATATTGCAAGTGGTAAGGGAGTTGTGGAGCGGCCATCATATTTCAAAACTGAACAAAAAGTAGACCTTTGCATTTCTCATGTTTTACTGATCA